GTACCACAACCAGCTGATGTGGAGCAAGAACGGAGGCTGGTAGCGGGCAAGGTGTTGCCTGAAAAGATCGTGGTGAATGAGGTGGAACTATGTGCGACGTCACCTCTGAGACAGTTGAGGGCAGCGTGCGACGTCACCTCTGAGACAGTTGAGGGCAGCGTGCAACTTCTTCGGAGTGAGCCAGTCAGGGAGCCGGAGCAAATGCTTTGAGAGACTGGTCTCCCACATGAGGGAGAGAGAGTTGAAGGCAGCTGCAGAGGCTGTAGCAGCAGCGCAAATGGAGGAGTCCAGGCAGCCAAGAGCACCGCCTTTGATCATGGTGCCAAGTCAGGCGGAGCAGGACAAACACAACCTTACACACACACCATATGCCCCTTGGTGTGAATGCTGCCTGATGCACCGTGGAAGACCTGACAGGCACTTGAGGTCAGGCGCATCGAGATTGACTGGATTACCAATCATCAGTTTGGACTTCTGCTACACCAAGGCAGGATCCATAGACCGGAATCCGAGCCGGCTGGAGAAGGAGAAGTGCCACTGCGAGAAGTGAAGCAGGCGTGTTGGCTGATGATGGTGGACAGCCACACAGGCTATTTGGGGGCAGTCCCACTCAAGTCGAAGGGACAGTTGAACATCATGGCCAGAGAGGTAATGACATTCATCCAGAATTTGGGCCATACAGAGGTGGGACTATATGGGGACAATGAGCCAACGATAAGGTCACTTCTACGCATTGTCCTAAACTCGAGGCATGCAATGGGGTTGAGAACACGCCTCTACACCACTCGAGTGAGAGATTCAGCAGGCAATTCATTAGCAGAGAATGCCATCCAGCGAGTTCGTGGATTAGCAGCTACAGTGATGGAGTACCTGATGAAGAACACGGGGCTGAAGCTGAATACAAACCACGGTTTATGGAGCTGGGCAGCGAGGCATGCCTGCTGGATGCTGAACAGGTACCAGGCGAGCAAGGGCATCACAAGCTATGAGCTGGTCCATGGAAAGACCTATGATGGACTAGTGGTTCCCTTCAGAAACCCAGTCTATGCCTACACCAAGCCGCAGACGGGAAAAGGAAGTAGCTCTGAAGTCAGGCAACTTTCCCCCGACGGAGATGATCCTTTTCCGACACCGAGATGAGGATGCTGAAGCAGTCCAGGCCTATGCAGAGTCGAAGGAAGGCCAGGAAGAAGCTCAGAGAGAGTTGGAGGAAGCAAGAGCTTTGGAACAGCTGGCACCGGAAAGGGAGGAAGGCGAACCAGCCCCACGAGCTCCACAAATTGAGGATGAGCCAAGAGGAGGAATGCCGACTACCCCAGCTCCTGAAGATCAGTCTGGGGAGAGGAGCTCAGTGCCGACCATGGTGGTGTTACCTATGCCATGGGAGGAGCAGGGAAGTCTCTCGGCAGGGAGAGCATTGAAAAAGTCAGCGCCACCCCTTTCAGCGGTGAAAGCAGAACCGGAGTTCAAGAAGCAGAGATTGGAGGAGGAGAGCGCAAAAAGACCGAGGAAGGAAGGGCCTGGAGCATCATCTTCAAGCACACCTGGCATGAACAAATGGTGGAAAGGAGAGTCCAGAAGGTATGCATTGGAGATGAGGAGATGTACCACCTCGACGAGGTCATTGAGTCTGAGACCATCGAGTTGGAGGTGGATGAAGATGTTCCGACAGTTGCCCAAGAACAAGATCAGCCGGAGGTATGGAGTGAGGCGGCACTGACAAGGACGCCACCTCAGCCAAGTGATGAAGTCGAAGCTTTGGCTGATCAGATTGAGGAGAAGAGGTTGAAGAGTATGGGAGTTATTGAGGACCTGAAGATCGAAGACTTCTACCTGGACAAACTCACCAACAAGTTTGTCCGAGACTGGCGAATCAAGACCAGAACCCTGCCAGATTAGGCAGCAGAAGAAGCAGTGGATGAGAAGGTCACGTTTGGTAGCCCGGGAGTACGCGGTTGAGCGAAGAGATGATGTATACTCTCCTGCATCAGGAAGCTACAGCCTGCGGCTTCTCCCAGCGCTCCTGCTGGACATGAGAAGCAAGGACTACCATGAGGAGGAGACCGGTGACCCAGTGATTGGAGCCCTGGACATCAAAGATGCCTTCTGCAGGTGGCACAGGAAAGACCACTGCAAATCTCAACAAGCCTGGGCAAGTACAAGGTCTTGAAGAATTTGCCAGGACAACGGATCGGGGCAAAAACCTGGTATGAACACATTAGAGACTACTTGATCAAGAACCAGGGCTTTGTCTTCGACGTGGTCAACCCCTGCTTGGGCAAGAAGGGTGAAGGAAGAAAGGCCCTGAGCCTGTTGATTCATGTGGATGACATTATGTTCACAGGCCGGTCAAAGGTGGTGGAAAAATTTGTTGAGGATTTGAAGAAGGATTTCCAGGTGGAGGTCACGATAGCAAGGAAACTTGGAGATGAGTTCATATTCCTGAAAAGGACCTATGTGTGGGTCGAAGAAGGACTGCTGGTGAAGCCAGGACAATATGCCGCCAAGATGATCAAAACGTTTGAGGAGAGCTATGGAGCGGTAAAGAGACAGAAATTGCCGGCCACAGCAGAAATCCAGGAGCTGGACGAGACGAACCTCATCACTCCTCCAGCAGACGCAGCAGTGTTCCGATCGATCGTGGGTATGGGCATCTACTTGTCGCAAGAGAGGTTAGATCTCAGTTTTGTGATCAAAGAGCTGGCGAGTAAGATGAGCAGCCCCACAGAAGGAGCGCTGCAGAACATGAGGAGAATGATTGGTTATTTGAAGGAGACCGAAGGCCAGCACATTCTCTTGGCCATGGGAGAAGGGAGTGAAGGAATTCAGATGAGAGGGCAGAAGCAGTGGCTGCTGGAGACTTTCACGGATGCGGATTGGAGCGGGTGCAAGTCAACAAGACGTTCAACCTCAGGAGCAATCCATGCGGTGAATGGAGTCATTGTGCACGCAAGCTCACGCAGTCAAAAGACAGTCTCGCTGAGTTCAGCGGAGTCAGAGCTGAATGCCTTAGTGGCAGGTGCGTGTGATGGTATCTGCATTAGGTATGCCCTCGAGTTCCTCACCGGACCAGGGATCCACCATTTTTGTTGGATTGACAATTCAGCCACACGCCAGATAGCCTGCAAGCGACGAAGTGGACGATTGCGCCACATCAATGGACGCTTGTTGTGGTGCCAGGACAAAGTGGCTGAAGGAACCCTAGAGGTGAAACAAATCAGCACTGCCCTGAACCTGGCTGACATCGGGACAAAACCACTGGGACGCAATAGGCTCCAGCTATTGCTGTTTTGGTGCAATGCCCGTGATGGCAATGGTGGACGAGTTGGCGAGAAGGAGCATGAGACCTACGCTACGCAGCGGATAGAGAAGGGCAAGGTCATGAAAATCGCCAAGTACCTGAACCGACTCATCCTGGTTGGCGGTCTTGAGCTGGCTGCGGGGTCACGACCCATGACCGAGGTGGAGAAGCCTAGCCACTCGGAAAATGCAGAAGGTTGGTAGGTGTTTCTGTGCATTGGCCTCCTATTGGGTCTGATGTTTTGGTTGTTTGGGAAGGTCAAAACCCTCACCACCAAAATAGAAGCGCTAGAAAGCTGCTTGCGAGAAGAGAAAGCCCGTGAAAGCGATTGGGCCGATTGGCACAATAGACAAACCTCGATGGCAGTTGACTACATCGAGAGGGTGCACGAGGGCCTGATCAAGAACGGCGGATTCGTCGGTTTGAGTTCGATTGAACCAGATGACAGCAGGTTCATGGAGTTCCTGGAGGACAGGAACAGGGTCAAGGCTGGTGTCCTGCTGTCAGAGCAATGGAAGACCGTGAACATGAGGCAAGCTGAAAGAGAAGGACGACCTTTCATCAACAGGTTGTACAGAACAGCGTCTCAAGCAGCAGAGGCAGCGGCAGGAAGACCACCACCAAGGACACCCACTGTCAGGCTGGACAGTGGTGAACTGGTGGAGATCCCTGAAGAGTATGTGGAGGTGAGGCCAAGCTCAAGTCAGGGAGAAGAAAGAGCAGCTGATCCAGAACATCTACCAGAGGCCGCGATGGAAGGCACAGATGAAGCTGCGGCTGAGGGTGATAATGATGACGTAGAGATGGACGGATCAGAGACCGAGTCTTGGCATCCTCCACCTGTAGAGATTCCAGTAGTGAAATTTAATCACTGGAACAGGTTGCGAAGTAGGGCAGCTTTGAGAGCAAGACAGGACCTTATGGTTCTGGAAGCGAGCTGGTTTCATTACACCAGGGAAGGAGATAGCCGACGGGCAGGAAGGCTCTACGAGCTAATGGAAGAAATGTTTGAGTTTCTGGACTATGATGAATTTCCTGGTGTAGTGGGGCACTAGAAAGGTGGAGTTGAAAGCGAAGCTCACACAACTCCAAGGGAGAGTGCGAAACTACAGCAGTAGCACTCATGGTCACATGAACCACATGTCAAAGACATGAAACGCACAGACACGAGAAGTGTACCGCAGACCGCCTTTTGAGAGCTCAAAGATTCGCAATATGGAAGTATACTATTAATGGAAGTCTACAGAAGTCGTGCCTGACCTGTCTTTGGTTGCAATATTGATCTGCCTGCGGTTGCAATATTGATCTGTCTTGATCTGTCTCTGGTTGCAATATTGATCTGTATTGATCTGTCTCTGGGTGCAATATTGATTTGCCGCGCCTGTGGTTGCGATATTGATCTGTTTGTGGCAGGAATATTGATCTGTCTCTGGGCCTCTGGTTGCAATATTGATCTGTCTGTGCAATTACTTGTAGTTGCCATTAGTACGTCTGAACTTGTAGAAGAGATACTCAAAAGATCTCAAAAGTGATGGTTATAAAGGACATATAATGAGCCCTGATCAGGCAAAAAGAGGGTAACACAACTTTGGACACAAGAACTGAAGGACCACAGTAGTCTATAGTTTGACTTGCACTTGAACCACGGGGCATGCGGTGTGGCATGGCCTGGGCCCAGCGAACAAAGATCGACGCCCAGGTGGCCACCAAGCTCCTGGTGAAGATGGAAGGGCCCTTCATGGCTGGGGTACCGTGTTGAATCGGGAGGGGATGAGGGAGTACTCATTAGGTACGTCTACATGAAGGAAGCGAAAGAGATAGAAGGAGACCTACATACCATAAAACATTTTTTGGGAAGGACCTAACATCTAATCTAATGATCACATCCATTTGTTCTCCAAATAATTGGTCAGCAAAAGAGACTTCTTGATTAAAGGGTCTCCATCATGAAGACCGGTGTGAGGCCTTGAGATGTCAATGGACCGCGCTTTTCTCCCTTGCCAAGTGTGGCTTTGCCATCCCTTTTCGCCAGGGCGACTGGGCCGCTGCCTTGCAAAAGGAGGCAGATTCTTTGGTTGCGGCTGAACCATAAAGCTGTCAGTGTCCAACTCACACAAAGGCTGGGAAGATGATCCAAGATGTTCTGCACTAAGCTATGAGTTGAGAGTCGAAAGGTATGGTTGGGGGGACGTGAAAGTGAACTGCACATGGTACGTAATCTTCCATAGACGCCTCACCTTCCTTTTGCTTTAGCCCCTTGCCCCAAAGTCACTCGACAAATCTGGGTGTCCATCGTCCGTCATCATCATGAATGTCAAGCAGCTTGCAGCCGGTCAGTGGAGGTCAGACCGAACTGCTTACAAAGAGGGCACCTCCATGTGACAACGGTTGATGGTTACCTCATTCTCAGTCATGAGCTCTTTCGAGCCAGAAATCCCGCAAAAAGAGCCTGGAAGAAGAACTCCTGACCTTGAGGGCCATGCAAAAAAGAAAACATCCAACAGAGTTCAGAACCTGGCACCTGAAACTGTATTTTTTTTTGGGGGGGGTTGATCAGGTGGCGGGTCTCCTACAGAACTGCTGGACTTGGAACCCCATGGACCGGCCGACTGCTGCGAAGATCTATGAGGCGAAGGGTGGCAGGGCATGGCAACCCTCGCCTCAACTTAAGTGTTGTTGACGTGTTCCTACTACCAGGAAGAAGAGAAACGCACGGGCGGTAGTACGATTTGGTAGCATAGTAGCTTTTGTGTTGCTGAGGCTGTGTATGGCCTGCTATTTCAGGGACGACCACCTTTGTCATGCTGTTTGAGCATACAATATGCGGAAACATCGATGGGTCATGTGTCCCAGTGTCCCTTTGGGATAAAGAGTTCCGGACAGGTCACACTTTGGAGCAAAAGATTCTCAACCTTCCCAAACACATTCTCGGGAATTCCATTGGATTTGGAACCTTTTAGGCACAGCTCATGCACCGCCTCAAGGCTAGCTTGCCAGTCGCATGCGCCGCTGGGCCGCTTTTCGGTTCATGTCCAGAGCTCGCTTGATCCGTGTTTACATTTCTGCTCAGAGCTGAACCGTCTTTAATTGAACTAAACACCTCATCATGATCACTGTTGGTGGGTCTTGGGGCTATGAGATGGACTGCATCATACAAGAATGTAATAGGGCTAGAACTTAAGGATGCTTTCCATCAACGATGTGGTGGTACATCCCTCAAGATTTCTTTGGGAAGAACACCCGATGCAGTGGTCCAGCATGCGAAGTGCTTCGCGCACACCTCGTTTCTCGGATGGGTGGGGTCGGCCTGTGGCAGTGGAGACCCAAAGCCCAACATGGAGAGTGGAGACCCAAAGCTCTGCGGTCTGCCACCGATGGAGAGTGGAGCCCCCTGATTCGGAGTTTTGACAGATGAAACCTTGGTTCAATGGTCCAACACGTTGTTGGAACTGCACAGTCGTCGGTATCGATGAGAGTCTACACTCAACTGCGGCCAGATGTTTGAACATTTCTGGTACTTCCTCACAATCATCCCATCATCCCTATTCCTGGTTGGTGACTGTCAAATACTCCACATTTCGATGGACGTAGTGCAAAAGTTCAAGAGCGGTGTTTCGCCCATGTTCCCGCAGTGGGCCTGGTGGACCAATTCAATGCACGATCAATTTATGAGACCTGCCACCAGCCTGATTTGCTTTCCAGATATTTTTGCGGACATTAAGGCTGACATACACGGGGTCATTCTCCCAAAGATACACATGGAAGCCAGACTGCAAGTAGAGAAGCAGAAAGAGGCTAGGGGGCCTTTTTGATGTCCACTTTACTGCATGTGTGCTCGGTGAAACAAGTTTGTGCGCATGTAACCAGCAAATTTGGCCAGAAACCCGGAAAGGGGGACAGGGATGCTGGAAGGAGGCTCAACAGTTCTCGCATCATCAAGGGTTCAGCATGCCAAATCTGTTCAGGGAAAGAGGCTGCTTGTGGAAAACTTAGCGAGGGCCCCATATACATCGACAATATATACATTATTCCTTGTTTGAGTTCACAGATGGACCGTCCACGGCGACTCCCCTGAATTTGCTTAGTAAGGGTGATGGCTTATTTTCACTTTGGATGAATCCCTGTCTCAGGAATATGTTTATAGCAATGTTTAACATGTTTTTACTTTTCCCCGATTCCTCAAGCAAATCCAAGTGAGTTGACACAAGGATCAACGTTGATCGACGCCTGAGGTGATGGCTGGAATAGCCAATCTTGGGGCGAGGTGTGGAGGAAAAATGCGGGAACGGTTGGGTCTCCGCCCCGTGTGTCGTTGAGATGCACCCTGACGTACCACGGGGAAGTTGATGCAAAAAAAAGTTCTTTCATCCTCACTAGGTCCACTTGAACTGAAGCTTTTTGGGGCATTGCCCCCGCAGACTAGATGATTTAAGTCCTTCGATTCAAGTGCCTGGTCAGCTCTGAGTCCTCCGACTAAGCAGTCTGCCAGCTGCCTCGGAGGCATGGAGTGGCTGGAATTCTTCGTCGCTTGGAGTTTGTTTGGGAGAGCGAACCCGAAACTCAGAACGCAGATTGACCTGAACACTTCGATTGTTGCTAGGTTTTTGATGTTGTTGTTGCTGCTGCTGGTGGTGTTGTTGTTGGTGGTGGTGGTGGCGGTGTCGTTCAAAAATTGATGTTTACCCCACAGGTCCTTCATAAACCTGCCCTTCGGGGATCAAATGCTTGGACCTGTCCTCAAAACCATCAATGGCGTCAATTTTCCACAAAGGGTGCGGTCATCGGTCGTCTAGTGAGTCGAGTGGTTCAAAGAAGGAATAGCATAAAGTACACCTATAGTATCCTATAGTAATCTTTGGCAGATGAGCATGAATGAGCTTGATGTGTCAGAATGTTTCGGTTATAGAATTACATAGACCATTTAGTTTTAGTCAGGCAAGCAGTAGTTTGGTTTCCAAGGTCATCCTCATGGCGTTCTAAGGCGGGGCAGCGGTGCGGGCCCGGGCAGCTTGTGATACACTCGCCAGTATGGTGAAGAATAGCCAATGGTTTCGGTTAAGGCTTAAGGTAAGCCATGATGAAGATTCAGCGGCAGCTTGTTTGCCGCTGAAATAGATGACTTAACTTGCGAACCGATCACAGCTATTCAAGAGACATAGGTGCTTTCTTGGGTTTGTTTCCAAAGGACCAATGCCAAAAGTGTGTCAGGTCCAAAGTTTGATTCGGCAGTGCTTCGGTGCTCAGCCTGACTTTGTTTCTTTGCACAGGAGGACCGTTGGAAAGAGAAGGATTCGTGGAAGTGGCAAAGCGCCAAATGGGAAGGGTGGAACGACGAGGAGGAGAAGAAGGAGGTGCCATGCTCCAAACATGCCCCGGAACGCGGCAGGTGTGTTAGTGACTGTATCACATGTCCTGCGTATATGGGGCAGCGGACAACCTAGGTATGTTATTTGGTTGTGCAATAAGGATTGTGACGTTCGGACGCACTTTCCGATAATTGCCAAGCAACAACAAGCCTAGGAGCACAGCCTGTGGGCTAGGTATGGATTCTTGGCAAGTTTAGGAAGTTAAGGCCCTGGTACATCCCAAACTCACAGAGGCTGGACTAGATTGTTTTGGTCTTAGCGACCCCCCTTCTCAGCCACCCCCTTCTCAGCCATGATTGCCTTTTTCTTTCCTAATTCCTTGATTCGTCATCAGATCCAACATGAATCAATCAACCTTCTCTCTTCTTGGCCAGCTCTCTTCCTCCTCAATCAGACTGCCGATTGACTTGCATAATCCGAAGCTTTGAGGCAGAAACGCCAACGTTTGAGGCCAAAACTGCCGAAACCCGCCCGGCCAAGGTCCCAGAGCCTTGGTATTTGGATGCCCATGACCTAATCCTGCACCCCAGTGGTGAGCACAAGTTCACCATGTGCCTGGGCGAAGTTTTGGCACGAACCTTTTGAGATTGTTCTTGGGGTATATGAAAGGTGAAGTACTAACCCACCATATTTCACCCAGAAAGTGCCCTTAGGTGACCAGCACCTGGATCCGTACGATATATCGCCTTATATCGCCATCAATTAAAATCCTCCCATAATTAATGCCGTAGTACCGTAGGAGCATCGATGGTATTGATGTTTCCCTTGCTCGTTGCTTGACTGAGTCTGAGGATTCTGTTGCACTCATGCAGCGGTGGTCCTGATGATTGGCTTCCTATCATTCACCGCTTGAACGTCCCCTTTCGCAACGAGATTCGTTTCGTAATCCCTTGTGCACCATTGAGACGAGAGTCTCACAATTCCTGGAAGGGTGAGATGAACTCCTGGTTTGAATATTCGGAGGATGGGGAGCATGCCAAGGACACCGGTTGCCTTGTCTCCCTTGGAGTTTCAGGGAATGAACAACCACGAGAGTTGACAAGACATGACAAGACCTGTGTGACATTCTCACAACATGCAGCACAGGACCTAAGTCAAGGTTGAAGCCTTGACTTTCCATGACTTTCCTGTTCTGCTTGTTTTCACAATGTGAGGGTGAAGTGGAACAGCCTCAAGTCGGCAAGGGAGTTCGCGACTCGTTCAGCCTGGCTAGCAGGATCCGCAGGAAGTCTTGGAGCAGCAGCAGAGGATCCAAGAGATCATGCAGGAAGAGGAGTTGAAGTTGCCAGGCGTCACCCACACCTTGTGATGCAATCTTCCATAAGGATATGTTATATATATATATATGTCATGTGTATATATATATATGGATATATATATATATTATATATTATATATAGTCTAGTATTTGTTGATGACATGATGGCAAAGGACATCGTGGACGGCGTGATTTTGCTGGAGATATCATACAAGCTGGATTTGATTGTCAACCACTGAAAATCCGATATCCACATGTGTTCCACGCCTTGATGCTCTCGGCGAGGCCCCGACCCCTCCGGGCGTTTGCTGCTGGGCGGCTTCTCCCAAGGTGTAGCCCTTTGCGTGGAGGCGGCGCTTGCGGAGCGCCGGTGTCACCGGGCGGAGGCCACGGCTTTGCTGCTGCTGCGGGGCGCAGCATTAGGGGCATCCTGGCAGAATGGCGTTGTAGCTCCAGAAGTGGACCTGAAGGGCATGAAGGCTGGAAGTGGGGGCTTGCCCATCATAGATTGGAGTGGGGACCGCCGCCACAACAACAGCAACAGCACCGCCACCGGATGTCCTAAGTTGGTAGCTAGCTAAGTCCTACCCAACCACTGAACATAATTAGGACTTAGGATTTAAGGGCTGCTCCAGCCTATTTGTTTTAAGAGCTATTTCTAAAACCCTAATTTAGGAAAGTTACAGTTGCTGTAGTTAGGAAATTTTAGGAAAGCTAATACAGCTAGCGTTTAGCTAAGTATGTAGTTTTGGGAAGGGTCCGTCAGTGAGGGTCACCTTGCGGGGGCCTGGTCTTTTGGTTAATTGTCAGCCAAAGTCGTTCTGCCAAATTCTGCGCAGTGCTTTCCAAGCGCTGGCGGGAGAAAAGGAGAAGCAATGGCTGGAATCTGAGAACGCATGCTTGCGCCCTCACCGACAACTTCCAAACAGAAAGGTATATGACTGTCAAATAGATTTGGGCAGTCTGTAGTTTTTTGGTCAAGTCAGAAGCAGCGGTGATCATTAAGGTGCACGGGCTGATGGTCGACTGCCTACAAGCATTGGCACGAAGAAGGATGGGTACAAGTAAACCTGAGGCAGTGTCAAAGAAATCCTGCGCCTGGCTGGAGTGACAAAAAAGAGTGTCCCAAAAGAGTGTCCCCGAGACTTTCCCACAAAATGTCCCACAAAACTACCCGACAAGAGAGTCCACTAGACAAGAGTGTCCCACAAGAGTGTCCAGCACGAGTCATGCAAGAAGAGTGTTCCGGGCGGCCTTGCTCACATTTGCGCAGCTGTGTGCCCCCTTCACGCGCGTCCTGCTGCACATGCTGCTTTTCCTATCTGTGTAAAATCATCGGTGTGCTTTGCGCGCTCTCATGCACGCCTTCATTTGCATGTACCTGCTCGATGCCGATTGATTGTAAACAAATACTGTTTAGCTGACTTTTCACCATTCCGCTGTGCGCAGGACCATTTCCACAGGTGACTTGCCAGGTCGTCTAATGCAGTATTGTAAAGTGCTAATGACTTGTGAGCCAGTTCCTGAACTTAACGCTCATTCATTTGAGCTATGAGTCTAAGTGTGACCAGCTGCATCTTCCCACTTGGGTATGCAGTGTGATCCCCGACTGGGGCGCCGCATTCACCACTGAACCTTCTTGACTAGAGTGCATGCGTCGAGAGCCGCTTCCTGATCAGCTCGCTTGCAAGGTAGATCACTGAATCTGCGAATTTCTGATCTTTGGATTTGCACTGCAGTGCTGATGATTACTCATTTTATATGTTTTTCTGTCAGTAACCTTTAGAACCTAAATAATGCCAAAGCTGTCTACTGCGTTGTTTCCTCTTTAAAGCGCGAATGCAGTTGTGAGCAACCTCTAAAACCTAAGTAAAGCCAAAGCTGTCTACTGCGTTGTTTCATCTTTAAAGTGCTAATGATTCTAATGCGTTTGTAAGTAACCTCTGGAACCCAAGTAAAGCCAAAGCTGTCTACTGCGTTGCTGCATCTTCAAAGAGCTCCTGCAATATAGTGCTAATGCAGTCAAATCAAAATTCCGCGTACGTTTTCACAGGAACTTGGATGGGTCTTTGTTGACCCATGCCATCCAAGTGCCCATGGACCCCCTGTGTTTAAAAACCAAAGTTAAAAACATAAAAGGTTCCCTATGAATCTAAGGGCTACACACCCACACACACACGCTCACATCATTCACACCATCCACCACACATCGCATCGCTTGGGAGGTCTTTGCGCACCATGGGCGCTGGGACCGGCTTTGCCCACCGCAGAACGCTTTCCAAAGCTACGAGGAACGGCTCCATGGCGCCGACCTCCGCTTGGTCATTGATGAGACCTTGGGCCATGCCTGCGCACGGGGCAGGTGGGCCATGAAGCGGACCGGTGGAGGAAGGCAATTGAAATCAAAACGTATGAGGATGTATGAGGGTTGGGTCCCTGGGCATTGGAAATTTGAATGGAACGCTTAAATTTATGTTCACTGGGTTATCAGGTTATCCGAATAATCATGTGTTTTGCCTAGTTAAAGTATGTTAAAGGATCAAGTAGACTCACCACAGCGCAATGCCTTCGAATTATTCCATGCAGGAGACGTCCTGGCTGTTCTGGCCGTCCCGCCCGTCCGCAGGCAGCAGCTTTGCGCTGGAGAGTTTGAAAAAATTGGGGAGTTCCTCACAGAACTTTGGGGTGACCTGTCGGAGTCCACCCCCTCGGCTTGAGATGCCCTGGATGAAGACTTTGGACCGAGGGAGATCGAAGGAGGACGACTGCTGGAGTTATCTGGAAATCTGAAGCTCGGATCGAAGGGATGAAGTGGATCGTGGAGGCTAAGATAGTGGATGGGGATGGTTTTCGAATCGCTTGTCTACCCCATTTTGGCTAAGTGCCTGCAAGATGTGTGTTGGATGTTTTGGTATACGAACGGACAGCACAATTGTGTTTTTGCACGGTCAGGCAGGTCAACATAGGTGAACATGTGCCAAGGCTTTATTGTCCCAAGTCAGCTGTAGCACAACTAAAGACCTGATTGGGTGTGGATAAGTTGTGATATGTTGTGATGATTTGTCATGAAATGTCATGAACATATTCTTGTACTGAACTTCATCATGTAGCTGAGTTGCCAGAATTCAGGAGGTGCATATGCTGGCGGAACCCACCACCTCCATACCGTGCCTGAGCGATGCTGGCTTACGGGATCCTGGTGGATCAGTGACTGATCACTAGCAGCACTAGACGACACCGACACAGGTCTGGGAAAGACGATGCCCATCACATCTTCAGCGGCCAACTGACTGTTGCACGGTCGAATGATGCAAAAAGGAGTCTCCAGAAATCAGATATTGGATTCTACTTGCAGATTTGGTGTGGATCAAGTATTGGAACTTGGGAGCCCAGATGCTGCTGTTATGCTGCAGGGTGCTCAAAAAGACTTGGAGTGACTTGCGTTGATGCTCAACTTGCTAACAACTGAATGCCACAGCGGCAGGAGGCAGTCACAGCAAACAATTCCGACTCCTTGTTTTGAACAACAATTTCAGTTGATGTTTTTGTTTTCCTTTCAGCTTGCAGTAACTACATAATCCGAACTCAAGACACCCATTTCATTTGGGAATGAGGATAACCTGTTGATGATCTCAAGGTCCCGCAAATCTGTGCCTTTTGAGCTTTACAGCATTTCAGGGCTTCGTTGCAAAGTGAATGACGTTCCCCCGGCAGGTGGAAAAAAACATCAAACCATCAAAGAATGAAGACCACAATTGTGCTGTCACGTGCGCGCACCCGTGGGTTCTCAAGGGGGTTGTCATGTTACCCGCTGCTGGCTCCGTTAGCAGGTCGTGTCCTCCATCTCAAAGCTGACAGTGTGAGCCGGCTGGGAGCTTTTGGCATACTTGCTGTTTGTACCTTGCCATGCGAAAGAGTTACCTTCCACAAGCACCGTTTGCACCCACCCAGAGGTCGTGTACATTCATTCTTCTTTCTGCTGAAGGTAGTTTCTTGTCCACCCAGTCCAAGGATGCCCAAAAGTATGCCAGAAGTGGGTGCAGCACGCTTGTCGGGGCACATGAGTTGCTTTGCCCAGGGCAAAGATCCCTGCATGGGCAGTGTTAACGAAGGCAACAACAAGTCCAGTGAATGCTTTGCTTTGGAGCCTCAACAACTAGGAAAGGAGGCTCTTGTTGATCTCTAGATCACACCCTTGCGATCATGTTCAGGGCCAGCTCTAGTGACTCTAGCGGCCAGCAGCGGCCAGCTCTAGTGGCAGTTCTTGGCTGATCCCCTTGCCATGCTTCGAATTAGCGGAGCTTCATCTCACCCCTGTGCTCAAGCTCTTCCAAGCTTCGCGTGAAGCACCCGGTGGGTCGCGCCATAGGAGCGCGGCCTCCCCAGCAAAATGTGCTTTCTCTATGAGTTGAACACGTTGAACACTCTTTACATATGCCTCCACCCATATCCAAGCATAGCAGTGACTTGTCATGTCTCCAAACATGAGTTCACTGCTTTGTAGTATAAATCCAGACTTCACCAGAAAGGCCTTCAATTGATTTCCCCAGTTGGTTGGACACAGCTTTGCCTCCCCAACCCACCAACCTCCGCCATGACGCCATGCTGGCGCCCGGGCGGCCCGGAGCCGGGCCTCAGCCGGCCCTCGCCCGCGCCGTACGGGCTGTACGGGCCGTACCGGCAGGTTTGCCACCAAGGCAGATAGCATGGCCACTGGGCTGCAAGAGGCCAAGTTTGCCTGGAAGGCGATGCCAAAATCCAACCGGCTTGGCAGGGGAGTGAAACTGTAATGTGAAAAGACCATCAGATGTGCATATATATATATATGTAGTGGGCGATCCCAGGGGTCATAATTAGCACCGCCGCAACTAGTTATGTTGGTTAACTGAATTTGAAAGTAATGACGTATTTAGCTTGGACACGACATTCCGAACGACATACTTAGACAGGCAATGATTGGAAGTGTTCTTGGTGATCAGATTCTGTGCTCAAATAGCACCAGAAAAAAAGATAGAATATGAATATAAGCGCATTTATTATCCACCATCATGGCAGATCGCGGCAGTTGCTTCTTGAATGATGGTAAATTTAAGAGCGTCTTCCCTATTGAATAATGCCCACCCGATTATGTTTGATCGTGTTTGATCTCTCCCTTCCATGCCCGTCTCCATTCGTTATGGCCCTCCAGGCCTTGGGTTTCCTCTGCCCTTGTGGCCTTCTACCGTTGCGCCGCGCGGCGCGCTCACCGCACGCCCTGCGCTCGTTGCGCTGCGCGCGGAACTGCCCGCGCGTCCGAAAGTGGGCCACGGTTGCCCAGCGTGTACTCGGCAGAGGAGGTGGCAGAGGCCTGTCAGAGCCATGGTTCCCAGGTGCCTCAACTCCAAAGTGGCGGATTTGGTAGGGGTTTGAGCGGCTCGAGCAAGCCAGCAGTGCTGAAAAATCATAATACTCAACAAATCGAAAATATGGTTCTTGCGACGTTCTTGCTGGGGTAAGGAAACTGGCGGGGTGTTTCTCAACATCTACCAGCAAGTTCTGCGAAGGAAAGCGGAAGTGGGCAGCTAAGCATGTATATATATATATATATGAATGACGAAAGTGGTTTGTTCACGTTTTTTGGAAGAAACATTTTGAGAGCCAGCCAGATGCATTCCTTCAGGTGATTGTTATTTAATGTGTTTGTTCCACACCCAGAGCATTTGCTTCCCGGTTCTTGTTGAAAACGCAAGAACTTAGGACTTGAAAACATTTGAACACTGACCAAAACTGAGGACAAGTAACGAAAGATATACTGTATAGTTCAGTCAGTTGAGGATCTGAATCTTGTTGGTATAATTCTTCTCAGTCTCCTGTTGATGTCCTTTCAAAGTCCTAAACCTTTGGAAGTCATAGAATGAGACAATTCCGGACAATACAGCTCTGTTCACCGCTGCAACTTCGTGCGCGTTTCACATTCCGACTCAGTTCGAGCGCCCAGGTCTTCCAGCGGTTCCTGCAGGTTTTCGCCCGCTTCAGCGGCTGGGCCACGCGCGCGTGGGCGCAGTGGGGCAGCCGGCGGAGCGCGGAGGAGCAGCTGGCACAGGAGCTCAGAGAAGCTTTGGTGGAGCTGGGGCCCAGTTTTGTGTCGCTTGGAGTGGCACAGATTGGGGAGAAATCGGATGACGATGGCGGGGGGCGTTAGATGGCGCGACTGGCCCGGTGGGCTGCTTGCGTGGGGCGACTTTGGTGCACTTGGGGAGGCCCTGAATTTACAGTTAATCCGGGATTGTCACGCAATAATTGATAGGCCTCTTGTCACAGTCGAAGATGTTGACATGTAATGGCACATAATGGCATATTTACAATTGTTAATTTACATGGCTATTGGCAGGGGCACCTTCTGAGCTTTCTTAGCAGGCATCCTGGACCACCTGGGAGACGGAAGGGTGCCTATCCCCTAGGTAATTTGTTCTCTTCATTTTCCCTGGTGAACCCGGGTCCCCCGGTTGGGCAGCTTCCCTTCGTTGTTCCTTTTTGAGCAGACTTTCACAAGAGCAGCACCGCAGCACCAAGCAACCTTCGGCACTCACGCTTAGAACCGTTTCGCCGCAGGAGCCGGGTCCGAAGCCGCCGGAGCCGCCGATGATGTTGACCTCGATCGTTTGGGAGTTCGTTGAGAGATGTCGCTCCTCACTGAGGAAGGTTGGGCAGATGCTCTCCAGTCGTGTGGACTTGCTACCGCTCGGGGGCCTCAGTTTGCTCCCACGTGGCCTGGGTGCTTTACTTGGAAGACAAGAAGACAAAGGGTGTTTGGAAGCTCGCATCCCCATATTGAGGCACAAAGACACCACCAAAAACAATCATCTAACCTGGAAACTTTGGGATTCCTGATTCAATCATTAAGATTGAAAACAAAGTTGCATTTGAATGGGGTTTGGACCATGAAGAAGTGTAATGGCGGTGTAGAGTCAGCGTAGATCGGCGGATATTTGCGGGGTATGTGGATGTGTTCCCATCTATATACATAGGCTTTGCACTGGTCAAGCTGCCTCGACTCGTGTGTTTGATGCCTTGAAAAGCACAAGATGCAACAGCACAAGTCCACGAGGGAGTCATCCTTGACGTATCATGGTACTTGCACAACTCCATTTCCTTCTCAACCCCGTGAGCTATTGTCCATCCTCCTCTGGGTGTTTGTGCATGCCTTGCCAAGTCAAGCAGTCAAGCTGGGGTCAAGCACACTCATGTGTAATTAGAGTCGTCCAACCAAGGATTGTGTCAAGGACTGTTGCACGAGGTTACACGTTTTGAAGGAGGATAGATGTCAGCCTTAGCGGCCCTCAACCAGGTGTGTTTGATGGTTTTTGCGTCTCCTCCCTATTATCTTCTAAGACAATGCCTTTTGTTGGTGTGTCAAAGCATAGCATTCCAAGATTCTTTTCGCAACACCCACCTTCAAAAGACATTCAACACATACAGCAGGATCCCCATGTCAATAGTCGCAGGGAACAATCCCATGAAGCCCAAGAGCTTGCAACGGAATGAGCGTACTGGATTCATTCCTGGTCTATACTGGTCTCACCCCGTTTGTTCATGAGCTTCAGAATAGCTTTGTGAACCTTACATTGGATCATCAACGCTTGCCGCTGCTGCACCGGATTCTCGAAGAACGTTCCAATGGCCACATGGAGATCTGGCGCTGGGCTTCGAGCTGCTGTGCTCGTCGAAGGCCGCAGAGCTTGCCAGGTGTCTTGGGGATCAACCAGTGTGGCCGAGCTTTGCGAGGTGGCGCTTGGGGCCCCTGTGGCGTTTGCTCATCACTTCGGATCGTGCAGGACTAATCAGCGGGGAAGTGGGGTTCCATACTGTACTGTTGACTTTGCTGTACTGTACACATATAAGTCTGAAGAAGCAGAAGACACATTGGTATTTTGTATTTCTATTGAAAAGAAGTCGAGGGAGAAACGGAGAAAGGCTTGCACTCACAATCCAGAGGATCAACTGTCTTCTGGGGAAGCCAAACAAACTCATATAATTACAGGCCATAGGCCATAGGCTTCGCATCAGGTACCAGGTACCATAGCTTGCTCATCCTTTTGGCCAAGGGGTTCGGTCTGAAGGCACTATCACTGGTATCTCCGTTCGGTACCTTCGAGCATGTTCACATGCCGCAATAGAAAACCAAGGCCCTAAGGCCTTGGTGGCAGGATCCAGTGGCTATAGCATCATTGGGTTCCCCCTCTGTGTTTTAGCCCAGCAGGCCCATCAGATCAAACGATGGCACCAGGTGGTCCAGTGGCCTATGCTGCATCCCTGCAGGGCGACGATGGCGAGCTGGCGGCTGAGTGGGAGAGGCCCTGGAGCGTGGTACATGAAACATCATGAAACCTTACCGAGGTTTTTTGAAAGAATCAAAAACAACCGGAGCAAGAGCATTTGGCACGTTCTTCATACCTTTGGATGTATTTCTCAATCAGCCGGTGATTCTCTTATTCATGAGGAACAAGACCAGATGGGTGAGAACACCGATGTCAGACTTAGTGAGTTGAGGATAAGAAGGACTCAATCCGCTCCACATTGATCCAGTCGATTGGAAAGACAGTGCGGGGACAAAAGAATATCAGAAATTGGCAAAGCCAAGCGGTTCTCCTCCAAATTGGAGCCCAAGTGTTTTTCAGCCACAACAAACCTGAAATAGGTGATTCATGTCTCTTGCAACCATTGCATCCATATGCTATGACTATACTGTAGGTAGCCTCAGGCAACCTATCTCCTCAAACAAACACTGGTAAGTCCAACAGAATGTCCTTCTGAAAAATTGAACCATTTGCACTGGCCGAAGAGCAATGACTAGTACTAGTCGTTCAGCTTTCTCGATTGCGAACATCGGTGGTAGATGAGTTATAGAATGCAAGAACGTTTCTTGCCCTTTGTTACTAGTAGCAAGAATGCTCCTAGTAGTAAGGCCAGGAGCGCTCCGTTCCTAGCGATGCCCTCTGTTACGTTCGTAGCGTCCCTCACAGGCGTCTCAAAGCTGGGTACTGGGAGATAATTGAAAAGCGGCTGGTGGAGGGGCCTGACGGCTGCTTCCGGGCGGCGTGCAAGGCGCAATGCGGTTCTGCCTGGGCAGTTGGAGATTCAAAGTTGAAGAGTCTTGAAGATGAGATGTTTCTTTTCTTTTTGTTCGAAGTTCTCTTTTCAGTTCTTGTTTTTGCTCTTTGGACCTTCATTGTTCATCCTATGTTTGCCCATCCGTTCCTTTGTGTTGATGTTCTTCACTTCTCCCTAGTAATAGTAGATGATAAACTATATATTAATATAAATATCTACAAAAATCCCACTTTCCAGGTGCCATCGGTTGTTTACTTCTCAGGTGCCCGCGGGCAGCCCCTTGCTCTTCGAGGCGTCCTCGTGCCATGCAGCCCTTGGCCCCGACGCGACAGCACAGATGGCGCAGCAACTGGAGAGCCACGCGCGGAAGTCCGAGGCCAGGGCAGAGACCCGAAGTGTTCCAATGAGAAAATATCAACAACCTTTGATGTATTCCAGTGCACATTCCCTAGAATCCCCAGGATTATTTGATTTGAATTTAGTCAATGTGTTGAATCTGACAACCTGATTTTCCTCAACACCCCAACACGTCCCCTATGCATGGGTTACATGATGTTCAATATGGCTTTATTTTACCCCGTCTTACCCCTAGCCACCACTAGACATGTCCTCTCACTCAGCAATGTCAGGAGCATACTGATGTTTACCAGTTCACACCTAGATAGATAGGGTGCAGCTAAAACTTCACAACATGTGTGATTGAATCTTCGGATGTTCTAAAGCATTTTGACATCACCAGTGGTGCTTCCGGTCTACCCAGTGGTGCTTTGGGACCACCCTTAGTCACCTGAGTCCTTTCTTTGCAAGACAGACTGACAAAGCACAAGACATCTACCCACAGACTGGGTGCTGTGATGTGCTTCTTGTTACTACTAGTAATGCCCTTGTTACTAGTAGCGATGCACTTGTTCCTAGTAGCGTGGTTGAGAGACTGGACAGACACAAGTGTCACAATAAGTGACACTGGTGCGAAGAGGAAGAATATCTCTAACGGCGTCGGCGTCGGCTGCATCGAAATGTCTACCCTTCGCTGTCAGTGTTCATAGTAAGATAGTAAGATAACAGTTGACAGTAGACAGTAGATGAGAATTTCATATACCTCCATGTCCTCTTTGGATGAATGTCTCAGACGTGATTGAAATCAGACGGAATCGAGGCATTGGAGCTGAAGTCGAAGCGCTTCACCGGAGAGTCCAGGAGTTTGCCCGTTGCGGGATGATGGATTCGTCCATGGGGCCAACGGATTCGTCAAACGAACTGAGTTAGCCACCAACCCCGTGACCAAGCGAACAGCCAAGCAACTACACACAGCTCATATCAATCAACATCGTCCAACTCACCTGAACAGCCAACCATTGATTGATATTAAGTTCTGCATTCTGTTCATGTTGTTGATGTTGATAGGTTTGGAAAAAGGACGATGATGTGACGTGCATGTTCTCCACATGGATAGAATGAACTTGCACTTTGTAGACAGCGCATTTGCGAGCCACTTGAAGACTGCCATACCTGTACCTGGTACGGAGTAAAAGAGTCCTTTGCTTGGGCAGGAGTCCTCTTCACGCGGTGCTAGCCTCCAATGCAAAGATCTGTAGCCGAGAGCCGGACATGGTGGCACTGTCACTCGGACGAGGATGGAACCAGTGAACTGTATTTATTGTTGAGTGGTCTTATTCTTAATGATACCGCCTTGTGTTGGGTGAAGTGTCCATGCTGTGCTTATGCAAATATGTTATGTTATCATACGTTATCTAATTATATACATGTTTAATGAATTTTAGGATTGGGAAAATCACAAGCAGTTTCAGATTCTCACCACAACGCAGTTAAAGGCACGGTCCTTTTCAATTTGTTGTGAAAGAAGAGTTCCTTGTTTGGATGCGGTGCAAGCTTCTCTTTATTGACGTCAGCTGCCGGCCAGGTCACCCCCACGTCACGGAGGTCAGCCTCTACTTGTTACCATAATGCCATAGTGCACTGTGATAAGTACTCTGACAGGGGCCAAAGGATGAAGTACATTGGTGCTACAGTAGATCTTTGGATCGCAACGGAAGCGTTTTGCACGCTTTTGGATGATGTTTGGCGGTTTTTGGATTTGAATCCCAGCCCAATCCCAGGTAACTTGGAGCAGCTTAACCCGCAATGCACTTTACAAGATGGATATATTGGAAGATCAAATTTATACTTATATATTTATCCTTCCCAGCCTCTAGCGCGACTGATAACCAGCACCTTACCAGTGTTCCCCGCGGTTCCTCCCCGCTTCCACGGTTTCCGGCGCCAAGCCCACGAGGTTTGTCACCTGCGGGAGGCTCAAGCACTCCTGTTGTCCGAATGCCTTCCTGGACTCCACGCGGAGGGAGGCGGTGCTGCGCTCCCTAGGTGCCGCAGTGGCACGGATTGGGCGAGTGGGATGGAGTGGGATGGAGCGTGGAGCAAGTTGGAGTTAGAGTTTGTCTCGTGAGGAGGACTCAGGGGATCCCATACTGTGGTAGAATGTGGTAGATGTTCCCTTTGACCTGTGGTAAAGAGACCGGGAACATGCTTTATGTGGATGTTGCCAGAGCTTATAAAGGTAGTAGGAACATGAAATGAGCCTATGTTCCATGGTTTTCTTGGCCAACTTGAG